CTTTGTTCTCAGCGGAGTAGGTGACGTTGTTTATATACCGATTCGTTATCGCTGCTGTCAGGAGACTCTGGTGGCTGCGGTCAGCACTTTCCGAGGGCGATTGACCTAGTGCGTGGCGCCTCGTTATCTGGCTAATGTATTGATTGATATGTGGGGTTTAACATCCCAAAACCAGTCTGGCTAATGTATGATCGCAGGACTCGGTGATGCAATTCATCAGACTAAAAAAGACAAGACAGCCAAAGTGATCGCCTTCATTGTTGTTCTTTACGTACCACCTGAAGCGACACCGAGAGACATGTGCTAAGACGCTACACAGAATGACGCACCATAGCATTGTGAGAGACGCCGTAGCGAAGGGCTCCGAAAATTTCGACCGCCTGGAGTTTTTTAACGTGCACCCAAATCTGAGCACACGGGCCTACAGCACCATCGAAAACGCAGCCGCCGCAGCCGGGATTCGATCCCGCGCCCTGCGGGCCAGCAGCCGAGTACCTTAGCCAGTAGGTCACTGTGGCGGGGCGAAATTTATATTTATACATACAATTAGTGTCACTCAGCTTATATATGGCGCACCGCTCGGTTAATTAACGTACGGTTACTCACCGAAGCTCTGGGTGAAGTTCACCCAGAACTTCACGCACTCGTCATGGTTCACTTCGCCGAGATGCACGATTTTTTTTTGTTTATAGAAAACTATAGGACGAAGCATCACGCTACAATCTTGAAGCACAGTCAGACAAAAAAAGGCCCTTGTCACGCGACAGGCAAGCGTTACCATTGGTTGCCTCGCTCTGGTTGCGTTTTCTGCAGGTGTAGCGTACGCATTTCTTGGCAAGACTTTACACCACAGGCCACACCCGCTCGACGACTATGCCAAATGTAAAACACTCGATCGTACGAGTTTCGTTGATGACGAGGAAGGTCATTCAATGGCGGAACACTTTCCTTCGTAAAGGGTTGACGCGTCCATCAGCGACAGATGGATACTTAATTGTTAACAGAGGCGGAAAACTTCTGTAGGGCGTGTTAGTCGTTAAAGGCCAGAAATATCCGTTGTAAACAGTACGTCGTAATCGCTAAGTGGCTAAGGCAGTTTTGCGAAGGAAGAAGTAGGAAAAGTGACTCTCGAAGAGCAAGGCATTTTCATTCTAATTCGAGGTACGCATGCTCAACCTTCCTCGTTCCGATCCGCACGAAACTCATCGGTGCTTACAGAAAACTGGTGGGCATATATTAAAAAGCTATTGTTGCATTTGCCAAATTCGTTCGTTCTCCTTATTTTTATTCGTGACATCCATCCAAATTTAATGGGCCACAGGCCGGCCATTACGCGCAGACTACTGCAGACCGACACATATAACCTGAGATCCCTTCACGCTATTCATCAAGACGTGTTCCTCAATGGCACTTGCCCCGCATGTGGGGATGTGTCCACGCTGGCGCACATGTTCTGGGAGTGCAGGGCAATGTACACTAACCCCGAAACTACTTCGGCCATGTGGGAGGCGGCCCTACGCAGCTCCCTCTTGGGCGACCAAATTTAGGCCGTCCAGCAGGCCCGAGGAGCTAGCAGCCGATATAGGCTGCTCCGCGGGCCTATATCGGCTGTAGCGAGACCTACATCCACCGTATTCTCGCCGTTTCGCTGTGGCCAGTAGACGCACCAAGAGCAGCGACATCTTGCATGACGTCAGAGGACGTTGTGATGTAGCGCGAAGCGAAACGCGGACACGAGAAGACGCACATGGACGCTACACGGCGCTACCATAGCAACAACGTGTTTTATTCTCAAAACAAGACCACTTTTTCAACCACAATCGCCAGGCAGGCAGATCAGCACGTGGGAAAACTCGGATACATGCGCGTCAATGTCACTCTACCTAGACGAAATCGTGACGGATAACACCATGCATCACTGCGTACGCAGCAAACCCAGCTCCTTAGGTGGCAATGCTATTGATCACAATGCTATTGATGCGCAAATCAAGTGCGTCGATACATTCGGCTTGCACGATCAAACGAGTCATCTGAACCTTATGTCGACCCACACTGACTGTGTTCTGGAACAAAGGGCGCCTACCACATGCACAAACGCGAAGAGCGAGAAACCCTTCAGGTGGGAGTTTATTATTTTTTTTTCATTCGCACATCTGATAATATTCTTGAAGAAAACCACATGGGTCAAGGCAAAGAGCGCGAGCATGCACCGCACTAAGGCCCTGCACAATCATTGCTCGGCAAGCGACCCGAATTGTAATTGCGCTCTCTCAAAAGTCAATTCACGCACCTGCTGGTTTGACCAGCATGTTTTTTTTTGTTTTTTTAAGGGCGAAGCTCCTTAAGGTGTGGGTCCTCTGTTGATATATGTAGCCACCTTGCAAACATCCTACTACAACCCATCACCTATCCACAACTTCGGCGATCATAGAGCCAATACTGTTGAAGAAGTAGCCAACATTCACAAAGGTGGCTCCTCTCGGGACGAGCGCAACTACCGTCCTATTTCGCTTATCAGTACATGTTCAAAGATACTCGAGCACATTATTAACAAACACTTGATGTCCTATCTTGATACGCACAATCTATTATCTTCGAAGCAGCATGGCTTCCGCCGAGGCTTATCTACAACAACTCAGTTAATCGAATTTGTTCATGATCTTTCAAAAACAATCAATTTGCGTGGTCAAACTGATGTGGTATATTTGGATTTCGCAAAGGCATTTGATGAAGTATCGCACTCAAAGCTACTGTTTAAAATTGACAAAACGTTTCAAAATAATCACTTGACAAAATGGTTTTCATCCTATCTCAGCTGCCGTCAGCAGTTTGTTCAAATAAAAAATAAACAGTCTAGAGCAGTTGGAGTGAATTCTGGAGTTCCCCAGGGGAGCGTGCTGGGTCCCCTTTTATTTTTGTTATATATAAATGACCTACCAAACCGCGTTACGGTCCCGATAAGGTTGTTTGCCGATGACTGTGTTGTTTATAGCAGAATCGAGACTGAACATGACCAAGTTAATCTAAACAACAATCTTCAAAGAATAAAGGATTGGTGCGAAGAATGGCAAATGAGTTTGAACACAGAAAAAACAGTCTTTATGACTATAACTAGAAAGAAAGCACCTCTAGATTACAACTACCAGATTGGCAATGCTTTCCTCAAGCGTGTACAAAACTATAAATATCTTGGGTTATGGTTCACGCCCGACCTCCGGTGGAACACTCATATTGATAATGTATGCTCCAGGGCTACCAAGGCATTGTATAGCCTTAGACGTAACCTTTATACCGCCCCATCTGATATAAAGTGTCTTGCTTACAAAACTCTTGTCAGACCTATTATCGAATATTCTAAAATTGTCTGGGACCCTTACACAAAGACAAACTGCTATAAAATAACAAAAATACAGCGACTTGGTGCGAGATTTATTTTTAATAAATATCGCCGACATCATTCTCCTACTGAACTCTGTAAAAAAGCTGGACTGGATAGTCCTGAACTTAGGACGAGGATTGAGCGTTTGAAATTCCTCTTCCAGTTAATTCATAATCATTTTAAACTAAACTATTCAGACTACTTCCAGGTCAACACACAAGAACACTCCAGACATCGCCATAATATGTATATACCACCCCTAGTCCCACGTAACGATTGCTTTAAGTTCAGTTACTTTCCACGTGCTATTGAAGATTGGAATATGCTGCCAGAGTCTATAATTGGTTGTTCCTCGCTTACATCATTTGAACAGAATCTAAAACGTTTATTTTCCGAATAACAGTGACATATGTTTTTTTTTTTTTTGGCGTGTGTGTGTACTTTTTGTTGGTTGCATGATTCTCCAGTAGTTGTCTTTCAAATCTTCAGCGCGGTGCAACAGTGCCGCCTCAAATGCGTCATGTGCTGTTCTGCGCGTATGTATTGCATCGCATGTGTGTTCCATTTATGTATGTTATGTATAACTTCGAGTTGCTGGTCACAATAATACCGAGAAATTATCTCGAGACCTGTACGGTACTTTTTTGCAAATAATTGTTTGTACTTCCACCCTGTAACGGCCCACTTCTGGGCTAACAGTATAAATAAATGAAATGAAATGAAACATGAAATGCAAGATGGTCGTGTACTTGTATACAGGTGCGCGTTAAAGAACCATAGATTTTCCCACTGTGCCCATCCTTTGTTTCTACGTGAGCGCCTATATAGTTTCACCCTTGCAAACTGCCCACTACTTCGTCCTCACAAACATCCCACTACACCCAATCACCGATCCACCACTTCAGCAATCATAGAGCCAATACTGTTGAAGTAGCCAATATGAAATGCAAGATGGTCGTGTACTTGTATCCAGGTGCGCGTTAAAGAACCATAGATTTTCCCACTGTGCCCATTCTTTGTTTCTACGTGACCGCCTATATAGTTTCACCCTTGCAAACTGCCCACTACTTCGTCCTCGTAAACATTCCGCTACGACCCATCACCGATCACTCACTTCAGCGATCATAAAGCCGTTGTAATGAAGGTGGAACGGAAGCAACGTATAGCTACCACTTACCAATAATAAAATTTCTTGTATAAGTACACACAGTGTTTGTTACGTCTTTGATGATGTAGTTGGAGATATCCCTGGATGGTTCAAAGTTTAGCGATGAAACCCTCCAGCGCTTCGCCCCACTCATCATCATTCACTCCGTGGATATGCTGCGATTTTTTTTTTTTTTGCGACATGGGGGCTTGCCCCAATTGTCTTTTTGCTCCATGTAGGAGTGCTGCCGCGTTAATCCATTACTGCTTGCAATTTCTGGCACGGCTTCGGCGCGTCGATTCTTGAAGTCGCCCCTTCTCGCCGTCTCCTTTTTGTTTCCGGCCTTCGAAGCGACACTTAGCCTCGGTGTTGCGGGGAAGGGTGCGCAAAGGTTGGGAAATGCGTTGCCTCCGTGCCTCCGCGCTATCTGGGCTTAGTACTAAAGCGCCGTGCGCGGCTCGAGGGGGCAGTCGAGCGTAGCTCAAAACAGTCGGCGCGTCGCGCAAACAACGACGGATGAAACGACGACTGCTATTAATATATATATATATATATATATATATATATATATATATATATATATATATATATATATATATATATATATGTTTTGTCGAATGCGAATAAGAGAAGACGCCGCGGTGTCTTGGCCGGTGTGCACGTCTACTTGTGTAAACCATCCCATAGCACTTATTACAATTTCTCTTTAATATAGCAGCGCAAAAGAAATAGAATTAAACGAGGACAAAAGACAAAGAAATGATGGAGGGGACAAGCGCTCCTCCTCAGTTTCATATCTCTGAGCTGCTACTGCAGCGTTTGCTGCTGCTGCTGCTACTACTACTACTACTACTACTACTACTACTACTACTACTACAGCAACAACACTTATTCATTGTGACTAATGTACAACTATCGCTATACTGTACTGTTACTTCGACATTTTCACCTATATAATATGACCTACAATATACTACTACTGCTACTAATCAAAACTACGACCATTCACTTTTAGTTCGGAATTAATTTCAGTTCATTTGTTGTTTTTGGTCATGTTCTTTAGCATTTTGTCTGTCTTTCGTCTTCCACTTCAAGCATTCTCTGTGAATACATTATAGTGACATTTCACAATGGCACTTTTTTTTTTGGTCACAAGTGCTACAGTCTTTTCGAGACTGACAAACAAACAAATAAATAAATTACTAGATCTACAGCTACCGTAGAAATATCGCTACCGCACCTCGATGGCGAAATATCAACACATAGTATTAATAACACTATACTACTACTACCAACATCATAACGAGTGCTCCAAATAGTGCACAAATATCGCTACGGTTACGAAACCGAACTTATACTACTGACACTACTACAACTACCACCATTACCACTACTAAAGAACAGTACTGCCATTGCGACAGTCGAGTACCAAGAAACGTACAACTGCAGGTGGTACTTTTATAAAACACTGCAAAATAAAACACGTGGGTAGGAATTGAATTGCCTGTGTTGGATTTACCTTCGCAAAGCGAGAAAAGTACACGCGCTAAACCCGACATTTAGTTTCCTAGTAGCATTATATTTCCGCATGCATTCACAAATGTATCCCACGTGATGCAGAATGAGATGGAGATAAGCGGTTCATCGTGAAAAAACTATGAGTGTTGTCATACTTCCCGCCCCGCTTCTATAAAGGTATCTCGACAAGTGCACGTAATCTTCCTTCCGTAATGTGCACTTGAGAGCCAACACCCGCCGATAAGGGACGCGTCATCCACGCTACGATACTGGCCAACTTTATTTAGTACGCGAGCACTCGCAGCGATTACAACACGTCGATAGGAATACACCACGCGTGCGCTAGCACCCAAAGTTCAGTAGTACAATCAGGGCCAAACCTCATAAGCGCGAAAATGCACGCGACAGCGACGAGCGACGCTATGAGCGACGAAACAGGGCGTTCGCGCGACGTGTCGCGTGCTCGTTTTCGCGCGATCGCTCGGTTCTCCAGATTTGGAAACCGTCGCTCATCGCCCGGAAGTGCTGGGCTCAAGCAGCCAATAGAGAAATACCGGAAAAGACAAAGACTACATAGGTGCACGTGACCCTGCCCGAGTCACGTATGCGCAACAAGAAATAACGGAATGTTTATTACGCATGTGCCTATAAAAAGTGCTGCAAGGCCATAATAAACACTTTCCGTTTCATTGCACAACAATATATCTTATTTTTAAATTGCATACCGCTCGCTACGCGGTTTTCTTGGTGCGAGTAGACGGCCTCATGCCAGCAACAGTGAAATTCGCTCGCCGAAGCCGTCGCGTGAATGAGGTTTGCCTGCGCTAGCGACTGATCGCGCGAAGAAGATCTACGTCGCGTCGCTTGTCGCTGTCGCGTGCATTTTCGCGCTTATGAGGTTTGGCCTTAAGGCAACTGACGCTAATTCCCGTATTCTAGAACCTCCCTTCACTCAACGCTTCGCCTTCACTCGAGAAAGCCGATAGGAGCGTCATCTTTACGCACGGCAAGTCACTGCATGTCAGCGATAGTCTGCTGCGGTTCTTAGTAGCGCAGCGTCATTTTCAGCCGAGTGGTGGCGCAGTGCTCAACTCTGTCAAGTGAAGGGTGACAGTCAAGTGGAGGAGCGTTTGTGAATACGGGGGTTCGTATCGCGACCACGCTCACTGGCATACACTTGTTGGCGTTGTCAGTCATCACCCCCGCGTTGAGCTCCCCGTTCTAACTCAAGTGAATGCATTGATCGATATGTGGGGTTTAACGTCCCCAAAACCACCATATGATTATGAGAGACGCCGTAGTGGAGGGCGCCGGAAATATCGACCACCTGCATGGGGTTCTTTAACGTGCACCCAAATCTGAGCACACGGGCCTACAACGTTTCCGCCTCCATTGGAAATGCAGCCGCCGCAGCCGGGATTCCATCCCACGACCTGCGGTTCAGTAGCCGGTGTACCTTAGCCACTAAAGACCACCGCGGCTGGGCTCAGGTGAATGCAGGCCTCTGGATTTCAACCAGCCTTCTTCCATGACCTCCGCGGCTATAGTTCTAAAGCGCAGGACATTCAGCAAACGGCATCATGTGTAGTTTTTCTTAAGCATGAAAGCTACTGCGTCTTATTGTGCCCCCATAGCTTTCAGCTGGAGGGTCTAATTCACACCTCAACAGCTCGGTGTGACGTGACCAAGCAAAGACGCCACTCATGACGTCACCGGTCGATTGGCACGTCGTCATCGACTCTTAAGCTACGAATTAGTTATGCTGGCTGAATAGCGCGAACCACGTAGTGACACGGCGTGGGTTACTACTGCTCCTTCCTCCCCTCAGCTTTGGCGTAGCCAGGCGGGAGGGGAGGGGTCGTGGTTGGGGTTACAAACTCCTAGCAAATTCGTTTTTTTTAAATTTATTTACAATACTGCTACTCTCGTTAGAGAGCGTGGCAGCCGGCAGTACAATGATTTTTGACACAAAGAAAATTTACAAAAAAAAACAGTTCAAAGCAAACACTTACAAGCATAAGAAGGGAACACGAAAGTATCGTCAATACAATCGAAGAATGCAGCAGTTAATTATAATAATACTTGACATATAGAATGACTGCAGAATATAATGCAAATTCGAAATAATATGCAATGCTGACATCAAACTTAATGAAAAAAAAGAAAATATGTAATTATGATAACTTTCGTGCCGGGACTGAAAAAGAATAAAAAAAACTTATATTGTAAACACTGAGAGTTTGATTGAAAATGTCTAAACTATCGTTAAGTGCAGGTGCGAACAAAGAAGAAACAAGAAGCGAACCTGTATCGCTTTATCACTACCGTGGCCTTTCATACATAGCTCCGGTTATGCGCGCATAGTTTTTTTTTTTTTTGTGACGTAAATTCAGATAACGATTCTGTGTTAGTGATAGCAGCATCAAGTTGATCCCATTCTGCTATTGCGAGCAAAAAGAATGAATACTACATTTTACACTACGTAATCTGTCGATGTATGCGCACGCTAATTACGTGTTAGTCGAGCCTGGGAACGTGACACGTATTTGGAAGTATCTATCTTGTATAATTATTTTGAGTAGCTGGAAGAGAATTTTTAAACTGGCGCGTTTCGCTGTAGTGGACGGTGTTTGTAAGCCGGACTGGATTAGAAGATCTGTTGGCGAATATAAGCGTCTGTATTCGTTGTGGATGAACCTAACAGCCTTCCCTTGTATATTTCGCCTATGTTAGTCTGCGTGTGAGAAAACCACACTGTGTTAGCGTGTTCGAGAATTGGCCTCACAAATGATGTGCAAGCCAACAGCTTCATTGATGTCGTCAAGAGTGCTAGACTTCGTTTTGGGAAAAATAGTTTCCTTAGTGCCCCAGAAGTAATATTATCGATGTGTTTGTACCATTTAAGATCAGAAGTGAGAGTAACACCTCAACTCTATCAATTGGAGTGCCATTAATCGTGTATGTGTAGTTGGATGGTTTTGTTTTTCTGCTTACAGTTGATGTCCGTGACTTTCGGACGTTTATTTTCATCTGTCGTTTAGAGCACCAATTAGCTAAGACGGCTATAGAATTGTTAAACTTGATACGGTTGTTGTAATGATTGATTTCTTTATGAATGACACAGTCGTCCACGAATAATTATATTGCACGGAACGTCATCAGTAATATCATCATAGAGAAATAAAAAGAGAAGGGGCCCAATTACTGAGTCTCGAGGGACTCCGGATGATACTAAACTGTTAAAAATGTTCAATTCAGCGTGTTTATATACATGCGCACGCATACAAACCCCCTTGGCCAATGCAGATAGCGTACGCTATCCGGGCCCATAAAAGAGTGGGAAGAGCCCCCGACCAAGAGTCACTTTTATGTTCCGCACGATGAACCATAGAGGAGCGAATTCGCAACCGTAATAACGGCTGGACTTGATACGTCTATATATATCGCTCTGCCATAAAGAGCCCGCGCATCAACGAGGGTATACGGGGGCTGTTTTGTCACGACGTCCGGCACGGTCACTATCTCTTGGGGCCCGGAGTGTCAACGCGTTACTGTTTAGATCTTTCCGTGCCTTCGCGCACAACCTTGACACGCCGCCGCTGTAGCGAAGCTCGCGTTTCCAACTCGCGTTCTGTCGATGCAGCGACGCAACACGCAAGCGCGTTATCGTGTTGCACAGCCTCAATGCGTCATTACAGCTGCATCGCTATTATCAGCACCACTTCGAGCCTATTTTACGTCCAGGCCTTCTCCAGCGAGTTGGGCAAGTCGGTATACTGCATGATCCATAATGTACAGCCCCCCATTTGCCCTATCCTGCTTTTCATCTTTTCCTTTACATATTACCTCGTCGGTCTTGGAATAAAGCTTCAGTTGATAGTCTGCGCTTGTCTGTCCTTTTTCTCTACTTCGTGTTTCCGTTCGTTTTTTTTTTTTTTTTTGCGAAGAACATTTTGGACCCCTCTTGTCGTTTGCGCTGTTAGCACTCCTATCATGAATTTGCCTTGTAGAGGATGACCACACACGCACAAACATGCATAAAGTATGGCTGAACCTCTGTTCTCTCCCCCCCCCCC